GGATATTGGAAATATGGCAGAAATGATGGAATAAAGATATAGGAGGGATGATGGACAAACATATGGTGGATTAAGGAAGGATGGATATGTGGAAAACTACATATGGTAGGTGATGGGGATGGAGGAGGGATGATGGACATGGTGGAAAAACATATGATAGAAGTGATGGAATAAAGATATGTAGGCATGTGTTAAGAAGAGATTATAGACATATTGGAAAAGTGCATATGGCAGAAATGATGGAATAAAGATATGTAGGCATATGTGTTAAGGAGGGATGACGGACATGGTGGAAGATTACATATGGTAGAGGTGATGGAATAAAGATATGTAGGCATGTGTTAAGGAGGGATGACGGACGTGGTGGAAAAGTACATACCAAGTAATGGAAGGGATAATGACATACTGAGTAAAGCTTTGGAGTCTGAGGTAAAGGATAAGAAAAACTGAAAAAGCAAGGACAACCATACAAGACAATTGTAAGGCAAATTAAATACTGGTGGAGATAGAAAGCAGAATAGTTAGTTTTAAGAAAATGAATGACATTAATTGGGCAAGATAAGAGTGGCAAAGTCTTGTACAATTGTGGCAACAATATAAACAATAAATTCAATTAAAAATTTGATGTCGCATCACAGACCCGTTAATTGGGGAGCACAAATTCATACAGGCATGTCATAATCTGTAGAAAACAAAGGATTTCATAGAAACTTAATACTAACATGCTTTTATGAACTTGTGTCTCCCACCCACCCCACCCCCTCCCCTCAAATTATTGAGTTTGCTACAGCACTGAAAATTTGAATGGAACAAAATATTTTACATATTTCATTGTGCCAAGCATTAAATTTTGTTCCTATACACAGATCTAATAAAGGCACATACAGTAGTCTACTATGTATATGAGATCAGACTCTTATATTTATATGATATTAATTAAACACTCCAGCAACACAGGCCTTTGTTCAACAGTTGAGTTTCAAAGGCATATATTCACTAGTTTGATGTGTGGGATCATATAATCAGGGGTTATTTAGGTAATTTATGTTAAATGTTACGTACTGATGTTTCATGATTGTTGCACAAAAACATTTAACTCTTCAGGAAAGTCAAAGTTGCTGACTTGCAGAAACTGCTAAAGACATTGAGCAAGAACTTCCTTTTTCAAAACAAAGATTATAATTATATGAAATTTAATTACAATCTGCTAATATAATATCAACAAATGTTAATAATTCCACCAACTTTTCACATATTACACCTGATGTTATCTTTGCGAGAAAACTTGATTTTCTTGCAAAGTAAGGTATTTTCTATCAAGTAAAACGAGTCACATTTTGTGTAAATTTCAAAAAATACTCTTACTCGATGCCATCAATCGTAACCACATCACTGACTACACACAGAATCATTTCCATTTCCAATATAACCGCGAATGACTCAATAAGCGCCCTTCCCCGCTCTCCCCTCCATCAAAACACGAGTTTTTACATAAAGCCGTGTGCAACCCAATAGCCAACCGGTGACCACCACCACAGTGTATTAAGTTTTGAATAGAAATGCCTGAATGTCTCATATCAATTTAACTACCCAACTCCCCCAGATAGAACAATTTAATCTCAAAAATACATGAAGACACAGTTAATTGATCAATGTCAATGCCCTCAAGTGAAGTAAAAGGAAATTTGCCTTCTCCAGTTCTCCACCTTCCCAAAGTTATTTTTAATCAAATTAGGTCAACCATCACTAAAACTTGCCAGCTGCTGCTTAAACAACCAAGTTTACTATATACATTTTGAAATTTGAGAAGTCTTCACCAAAGAGTATATATTGAAAATTTATTCAAATATTGGCACAAGCTTCACACAAATGTTAAAAATTCATTTTGATCAAGCAGAAATAAAACATTCCGTTTGTATTTAAGAAAAAAATTCACATGAAAATATTTAAAGAACTGTTTAAATTGTTATCAAAAACTGTCACAATAACTAGAAGCACTTCCTGTGCACAATTGAGGGTCCAGATTCATCATATTCTTGTTTGGAGATCCACATCTGTTGGAAGGTGGAAAGAGAGGCCAAGATGGAGCCACCAATCCAAACAGAGTATTTTCTTTCTGGTGGAGCAATTACCTTAATTTTCATTGTGGGAGGGCAAGAGCAGTTATTTCTTTCTGCATTCTATCAGCAATACCTGGGAACATGGTCGTTCCACCAGACAAGACAGTGTTGGCATAAAGATCCTTACGGATGTCAACATCGCACTTCATGATTGAATTGTAGCAGGTTTCGTGGATACCTGCAGACTCCATACCAAGGAAGGCAGGTTGGAAGAGTGCTTCTGGGCATCTGAATCGCTCATTGCCAACAGTGATAACTTGACCATCAGGCAATTCATAGGATTTCTCTAAACTAGAGCTGCTTGCAGCTGTGTCCATCTCTTGCTCGAAGTCCAAGGCGACATAACACAGCTTCTCCTTGATGTCTCTGACAATTTCACGTTCAGCTGTTGTGGTGAATGAGTAACCACGTTCGGTCAAGATTTTCATGAGGTAATCTGTTAAATCACGACCAGCCAAATCAAGACGAAGGATGGCATGAGGCAAAGCATAACCTTCATAGATTGGTACAGTGTGAGAGACACCATCACCACTGTCAAACACAATACCAGTCGTTCGACCAGAAGCATACAGGGACAGGACTGCTTGGATGGCAACATACATAGCTGGTGTGTTGAACGTCTCAAACATAATCTGTAAGTTAAAATTGTTTAATTAATTTCAAGGTACAAAACAAAGCATGATCTTCAAGTCAATGAGCATATAGTTATGGAAGAAAAGCTCCATGTCAAAAACTATTAGTTATATGTTCTTTGGAACATATTGCGCTTCCAAAGCTGACAACAAAAGCTTGAGCTACTCTTCATAGCAAACTATGTTTTCAATTGAATATGCAAATTATTCATAACAATATTGACATTCAAATATGACGTTCAGTCAAACACAGTTCAAAGCCAAGATAATTTGTTTTAAAAATCGTGAGATAATTGGTGAATGCGCAACTAAACATTAATAAGTTTAAAGGTTAATTTTTAAAAATTTGCGGAATTAGACAATCAAGTATTCGTCTCTCTCGATTAGACGATCGAATATTCTATTATAAAGCTTGTACGAACACTTAATTACATTAAATTGATTATACAAACGGCAAGTACAAATCAATGGACTACTACAATTCTGTGCTACAATGAAAATGAGTTTGTACCCTTCCTTAAATATAATGGTTAAATACACATCTAGCGCAACAGGTGGGAAACTGTAATTTCAGTAGCTTCACAATTATTTCATGGTTAAAATAAAAGACGTAACTAGTAATATTGGGCGATTCATCTATGTTTTTAAAAGTAATTGCTATAAAAGCACTTATAATTTGTAACAAATCGATTCCGTGAACGAGCATTTCTCAAATGGCAACATGTCATCGCAAATTGACGCTAACCGTAGTCTTTCAATAAGTATAAGGAATTCTTATATGCCTAACGTACATTCCAATATCTTAGAAAGAAAGTATGAAGCACATGATCCTTAAATTATTTCGCCTCAATAATAGGAAGTTTAACAGAATCGATAAACTGACTGACAGAACATAATACTATGCTAATGTTACCACTTAAATATTTGTACCTGAGTCATTTTCTCTCGGTTTGCCTTTGGGTTGAGTGGAGCTTCAGTAAGTAAAACAGGGTGTTCCTCTGGAGCTACACGAAGTTCATTGTAGAAAGTGTGATGCCAGATCTATACAGCAGAACAGTAAACAGAAATTAGGCGTTACCCCATATCACTTTGGGAATGAAATTAAATAGGCATTTCAAAACATACAGTACCTTTTCCATGTCATCCCAGTTAGTTACGATGCCGTGTTCAATAGGATATTTCAACGTAAGGATACCTCTTTTACTTTGGGCTTCGTCACCGACATATGAATCTTTTTGGCCCATACCAACCATCACACCTTGATGGCGAGGACGGCCGACAATCGATGGGAATACAGCTCGAGGAGCATCATCGCCGGCAAAACCAGCTTTGCACATACCAGATCCATTGTCAACAACTAAAGCAGCAACGTCTTCGTCCATTATAGAAAAATTCTACGTTATTTAAACAGTTGACACAAGGCTTTTCTACTAGACTGCAGCGCTGGGTGTCACTACCTACTTGTCGCAGGAGGAAGAGGATAATGAAAGTCGACAGTGACGTCATTTCCTCATGCTTTGTCTTGTTTCCTAATAATTTCGTTGTAGCATATTTCCGCTTGTCCAATTCATATTTTACGGTATATTTTAATTTATATTTTCGTGCGAAAACGAATCATTATTTTGCTAAAAAAATAACATTTCATAGCAGGAAAAAAATTCGGAAAACGGGCTTAACCACTCTGTCATATGTTGACACTTGACATAATGTACGGGATAAAGTTACAAATTTGTGACAAATCAAAAAGTTTAATACACCACAACTACAAGTTGTAGTAGAAAAACACGATGGTCGTTTGCAATCAAAATAAATGACCAAAAAATTATTTCATTAATAGATCAGGAGGGAGAGTGCTTAACTGGCATATTTTACGGTGGCCCACAAGTACAAGCACACTTACACATAACAGCATACGCGAACAAATTCGAGGATGCACACTTACACATAACAGCATACGCGCACAAATCGAGGATGCACACTTACGCATAACAGCATACGCGCACAAATTCGAGGATGCACACTTACGCATAACAGCATACGCGCACAAATTCGAGGATGCACACTTACGCATAACAGCATACGCGCACAAATTCGAGAGTGGCCCACAAGTACAAGCACACTTACACATAACAGCATACGCCCACAAAAATTCGAATACTAACAAACGTAAGTTCAAAATTAAAAAGGAAAAGCCGGCAGTCTATTACTTGACATTTCTTTCCGCTGCTAAACACTACTTTAAAGACTTATGGAAGATATCATTCGCAACTATTTTACTAAAAACTACACGTATGATACAATTCTACAGCTATTACAAAAATATCATGGAATTCGCATCTCTAGAAGTACTTTGCTGAATAAGCTTAAGCTTTATGGATTGCAACGACGTGGAAATACCGTTGATAAAGACCACGTAAGAAGATGCATTGTTCGAGAACTAGATGGAAGTGGTAAATTGTTGGGCTATAGAGCCATGTGGAGACGATTGCAGTCAAAATATGGCTTGCAAGTTCCTCGTTTGGTTGCTCAAACCACCCTTCAAGAAGTGGATCCAGAGGGATCGAAATGGAGACGGGCTAACCGTCTTCGTAGAAGAGCTTACATGAATCCGGGGCCAAATTATTGCTGGCATGCCGATGGTTACGACAAACTTAAACCGTATGGTTTCCCCATCCATGGGTGTATAGATGGATTTAGCAGGAAAATACTGTGGTTAAATATAGTTCCTTCAAATAATGATCCCCGCGTAGTGGGCAGGCTATTTTACGACTGCATATCTAATATGCAACTCTGTCCTAAAATTCTTAGAACAGATAGGGGAACAGAAAATGGGATTATGGCATCAGCCCAGTGTTTCTTACGCCGAGATGGTACGGACACACATTCTGACGTCAATGCTCATCAATATGGATCATCACACAGCAATCAGCGAATAGAAGCATGGTGGGCCATGTTACGTCGCTCGTGGGCCTCGTGGTGGATGAATTTTTTTAAGGATTTGATAGCTAAAGGGGTTTTAGACACAAGCAACGTACTTCAACTTGAATGTCTATGGTTTTGCTTTAGTCCTGTCTTAAAAAAAGGACTTGACCAAATCAAGGAATCGTGGAACAGTCACTATGTACGCAAATCCAGGTTTTACACTCATGCGGGGATCCCTGATCAGCTTTACCTTCTACCTGAAGCAGTTGGAGCTGAAGATTTTCAGAAACAATATGACGACGAAGATCTTATAGAGATTTACAATTCAGTTAATGTGTCGACAGAAAAGGTCTCTACATATCAAAAATACTTCTCGTATAGTGCTGGTGTGTTACAAATAGGACAGATCCAGACATGGAGAGAAGCTTTAATGGCATATGAAAGACTTCTAGAAGCAGCTTAAAGCAAATAGCAATGAACAAAACATATTTAACATTAATAACTCAAAACGATAACGTATATGGTAATCTTATAAAGAAATAAGATAATTTCATATTCAGGGAAGGTCCATAACCTCCATCTTCATATGACACCACATCATTGTCCATAAAATCTTTTTTAACAAAAGTGAACTAAAAAAAGTGTTTCTACAATGTAAAACACAATATAATATGTCATAAAACATGTGATAGAACTTTCATACAATGTCAAACGACCAGGCACTTTTTTCTCTTAGGATCGACGAAAACTCCTCTACAAGTTCATTATAAAATTGATAAGTGCTGGGAATCTCTAGAAATGGTCCACATGTGTGTGCTACAGGACGACGTTGTAAACCATTAAGTTCTGTAAATGACACTTTTAACTTTTGACCTTCTAAAATGATATCAGAACCTGTGGTAAATTGAAGGAACGCGGTTACGTTGCCACCTAGAGACTTTATATAGCGCACCAAATGATCAAATGCATTTCGTTGTGCCTCATTTTCGGGGGAGGCATCTAGAATTTTCAAAACCTTTTTGGACGTGGGTTTTCTTTCTTGGTAAAAGCAAAGAATGCTTGCAACATCTTGAAACGCAGGATGACTTTTCAATGATTGCAATATTATATGAATGTTTTATGCAGTGCTGATATTGAATTAAGACCTGAAAATTGACTCAACGGTGACTCATCCTGAGTCACCAGACGATTGCAATTGCGATCATATCTCATTTAATTTGATTGCAATATTGTTGCCCAACAATTGGAAACGTACCGCGGTCTTTGGATAAGTTCTTGGTGAGCTAATTGGCATAATATATCTTCAATATTTTCTTCTGTGGGATTGAGATAGCACTTGTAGCTTCCTAAAACTTCAAGTAAGTCTTCATTTTTACATATCTGTGATCGATTTTTCATTAAGTTATCAACCACTTCTCTCTCGTCTTCAGCCATATACTCCATGAAAGAGTTTAACAGCACTTCACAAGAAACACTGTCTTCACCATGGAGAGTACATGCAACAAAAGCTGAACACAATGTAATGGGGAACACTCCTTCTTTGCAGTAGCCATACAACATGATTCTAGCCACTGCCTCCCATTCCAGCTTTTGATAATCATGACGAATGGCTGGCACCTTGGTAGATGCTCCAATAGATAATGACTGATAAAAGGTGCCAAAACTCTGTAAGAAGATCACGCAACACCTCTTCCTTCTCCCTCCTCAAACATACCTCTTGCATCAACTACTTTAAAAATATAGTAGATTTCAATACATTTGGATTATAAAATTCTGTTATCATATCTTTCAAAGGGTTGTGCGATGGATTAGCAGATCTAGCACATGCAATTGTTCCTCGGGTAAATTAACTTGAGCTGGTTGTACAAGATTTGGCTCTGGTTCAATAATATCTAGTAGGGATTCAGTTACATCTAAAAATAAATTTAAAATACAAAACAATGAAATATACAAAATGTATAGGATACATATGTAACAAATCATTAGTTATACCTGCATCCTGAAAAATTTGAGCAGGCATTTCACCTGGTTCCATAATGATTTGCTCAACTGAAAATGAATCAACCTGAAAGGAAACAGCTTCCACACAACTATTATCAACATTAACAACATTGCTTGGAACAGGATTTGTTTGAACATGGCTGGCCTCCACTAGACTAGCTTTTGCAAGACTAGCTGGAACAGCATTGGTATGAGCATGATTAACTTCCACAAAATTATCTGGTGTTGCATTGACTTGTTGAGAATTTCCCAGTTCACATATAATTTGTGAAGAATTTTCTTGCACAGAATTATCTTCAAAAACATCAGCAGTATCTGGAACAACCGTTTCCTTGAGGTCTTCAGTCAAATCATTGGCTACTAAATTTAGAATATAACATAATTACTAACCCTACAAACAAATTCTTTTGAAGGTTTAATGTTAGTTGCAAGATAATTATTCTAAGGCATTTTTTAACTTTTATGTACTAGGGCATTTTAGCATTTTGCTCTGTGCTTGCCCCAGTAGTGAACCTTTATTCACCAGTAAAATACAGTCAATAGGCCCATTCAACTCTGGGAAGCTCAGAAATGTTGCTTCAATAAAATGTGACTGCTTTTGATTATTTATTGCATGACATATCAGTTTTCAATACAGCCAGTGTTTGTCTTGTGCAATGCCCCTAATGCTCACTCCAGCAGTCTAAATGCAAAAAATACCGGACTTATTTTGAACTCAGTGTTTACCTTCAAAATCAAGCATTTTGCAAATGTACAAATTTACTCGACTGTATGGACGTCCAAGTTCATTTTATATTTTCCACAGAGAATTTTTCACTGCTTCCTGGAATATTTCCCACGATATCCATATCAGGGTAAAGTAAAAGCCACTCAGTTTCATTATGATCTCTGAGATGTCTGTTGTGGGCAAGCTGTTTCTGAACTCCGGCATTCTTTACAGGAACTAATGTATCTGATTTTCGAACATCAACAGGAAGTAAAGAAGATCTTCTTATTTTAAGTCTTTTACCGTCGAGTTCAATTATTCCAATCTTTATCTACAACACAAAATTGAGTTTCATTAACCAAATTTGTATAATTGGCATAATCATAACATTGAATACACATACCTTCACTACTTCATCTTTCTTCTCCTTTTTTATTTGACTAAATCGTTCATTTGACTTCCTTTTCTAATAGTTTGAAAGGTAGACGAACTACCAGCGCGGTGGGAATTTCCTAGTTGATCGCCACGATCAGTGCAAGGATTGGCGACTGCGTTCTTCTTTATGTACTCTTCGAAAGTTAACGGTTGTTGACTAGAGGCCGAAGGTTTAATTTCTGATACACTTGCACCACAGTTCTCGCAAAAATTTGCATTTTCATCCTTTTCTTTTCCACAATGTGGACAAAACATCGTTGGGTTATTGACTTATTGCTATTGTGAACATGTGAATCATGAAATATTTCTCGCCGGCAATCTTTTCGGTTTTTGCAGCCCGATTTTACGAAGCGTCATGTAATAAGCCATGAATGTGAATATTTATTTGTGCGCGTATGCTGTTACGTGTAAGTGTGCATCCTCGAATTTGTGGGCGTATGCTGTTATGTGTAAGTGTGCTTGTACTTGTGGGCCACTCTCGAATTTGTGCGCGTATGCTGTTATGCGTAAGTGTGCATCCTCGAATTTGTGCGCGTATGCTGTTATGTGTAAGTGTGCATCCTCGAATTTGTGCGCGTATGCTGTTATGTGTAAGTGTGCTTGTACTTGTGGGCCACCGTAATATTTCCTTACAGCATGCACAAAACATAAAATGTTCATCTTCAACATTAAGCCACAGTGAAATGAAACAGCTTTTTCAAGAAACTTTTATTGAAATCCACGAAGCAAAACAAATTTGAGTTTCAAAAGAAGTCAAATCTCAAAAATTCGATTCGTGCAAACATTATTGCGATTGTGAACTCTATGGCAGTCACTGTGTCATTAATATTATGGAATCACTATGTGGCAGTCGGCGCATCGCCCTTTGAACAATACTCACAATACCATGCTGTTTGTGCGTGTTCCGCACTTAAATGTAAAAAAATGTAAAATGTACAATGTTTGTACATAATATTTTTCCTAAAATCGACAGTCTTAATATCCAAAGAGCAAACGAGGGTGTCACGTGGCACGTGCATGTGAGTGTTTTGACAAAAAATGAATTGTAACAAATTGAAATGGATCAATGAACACACCATATACTTCACACATATTAATTTCTTGTCATATACTACACATCATAAGAAACATATGAAACAGAAGAAAGCCCCAAGAGTATTGTTTCTCTAAAACTAAAAACAACATTCTGGTAAAACATTGGGGAGAATGCTAGAAGATAATCAATAACAAACTTTTCCCCTTTCTTTGTCTTTTTGCTTTCGTGCAAAAATGTAGTCTTTGCTTACATTTACACGAAATTAAATTACCCCATTGTCTGATTTGTCTGAACTTTAAAGAATTGTTGCTTCGAAAACACGTCGTCACGTGACTGCGCTTATCTAATGCATGATCAGTAATTAGCAAGAGAGGATTTGCCGTGAGGACGATATGATAAAGCCTACTCAAGAAATTTGCAAATTTCAAAACAATAAATCGAATCGACCACAACTTTCTACTTCAACCTACAAATCAACATATGCATGTTAATTCCCGAAAGGTCAGGCAATACAATTTAATATTTCAAACCTATATCTATCAATCCTGGGCTGACAGGGCGGTGTTTAGCATGTATTCGGCATTTTATGGTCGATTTGATGTATCGTCAAACCTATATTTATGTCAGCAATTTTAGGCGAAAAACTCGTTAGGAAAATATCATTCACTAGCTTCGTCATTCGAGCTTTGCATGCTAACGGATGTAACTTGTTTGTAAGCGAAATTGCATTTTGCACACGAAGCGAAATTGCATTTGTAAAATATATTGAATTTTAACTTTCAAACATTGTCTACCGATAATGCCGCGCAAGACTATTCAAAACAATTCATGCAACAACAGAACTAGTTTTTTACGATGGCCCATTTCACAAAATATTAATACAATTTCGTGTGATATCTGTTTGCTTAAAGCGGAAGTAGTAATGTTTCTCGGTAATCAGTCTCTGTTCAAAAATCGCGAAATTGAACACTTAACAAAATCTTTAATGGTATTGAAAAACATGGTTATCGTCATAGCGGAATAAAATGCGCTCAGACGAATAGTTAAACAACTACTATGTTGTCAGCGTATGAATAGCCCCAAACCACTAATATAACAACTAATATCATTATCAAAGCATTGTCCACCCAACTAACTACCCCAACAGTTTCACCCTGACACTCCAAGCAACTTTATGGCCAAAACTACCGTAATTTCAAAAGAAAAAAAATTCAGAAGACCTGCTTATTTACACACAACTGTCTGGTTTTGTTGATAATAATTATCTAAAATATGGTGGCATGTTACTAATATCAGTCATGCTTCAAAATAAACACCAAACATTCACAGTTTACGCTTTTTATTTCTTTCAATTTTTTATCAATTTTTGTTGAACTGTACAGACTCCTAACAAAAATATGAACAATTAATTTTGGTTTCACCTTACATTATGAATTTTACAACCAATGATGAGTAAAATGTTAAATTGAAAATAGAATAACAAACTGTTCAATGCTTAGAAGCATTTTCTGTGCACAATTGAGGGTCCAGATTCGTCATATTCTTGTTTGGAGATCCACATCTGTTGGAAGGTAGAAAGAGAGGCCAAGATAGAGCCACCAATCCAGACAGAGTATTTTCTTTCTGGTGGAGCAATGACCTTGATTTTCATGGTGGGAGGCGCAAGAGCAGTGATTTCTTTCTGCATTCTATCAGCAATACCTGGGAACATGGTCGTTCCACCAGACAAGACAGTGTTGGCATAAAGATCCTTACGGATGTCAACATCGCACTTCATGATTGAATTGTAGCATGTTTCATGGATACCTGCGGACTCCATACCAAGGAAGGCAGGTTGGAAGAGTGCTTCTGGGCATCTGAATCGCTCATTGCCAACAGTGATAACTTGACCATCAGGCAATTCATAGGATTTCTCTAAACTAGAGCTGCTTGCAGCTGTGTCCATCTCTTGCTCGAAGTCCAAGGCGACATAACACAGCTTCTCCTTGATGTCTCTGACAATTTCACGTTCAGCTGTTGTGGTGAATGAGTAACCACGTTCGGTCAAGATCTTCATGAGGTAATCTGTCAAATCACGACCAGCCAAATCAAGACGAAGAATAGCATGAGGCAAAGCATAACCTTCATAGATTGGTACAGTGTGAGAGACACCATCACCACTGTCAAACACTATACCAGTCGTTCGACCGGAAGCATAGAGGGACAGGACTGCTTGGATGGCAACATACATAGCTGGTGTGTTGAATGTCTCAAACATGATCTAAATATTGAAACACAATAAGGAAGCCAATTAATTTTGTTGAAATTTGGCCATCGTCAACATAAATTGAAATGCAGTGACAAACCTGTGTCATTTTTTCACGATTAGCTTTTGGGTTGAGTGGAGCTTCGGTTAATAAAACTGGATGTTCCTCAGGGGCTACACGAAGTTCATTGTAGAAGGTGTGATGCCAAATCTATGATGAATATATGGGCGTTAACATACAACAAGGCAAAATTGTACAATTAAAATTTTTCTTGAAAACTTACTTTTCCATATCATCCCAGTTAGTAACGATGCCGTGTTCGATGGGATATTTCAACGTAAGGATACCTCTTTTGCTTTGAGCTTCATCACCGACATACGAATCTTTTTGGCCCATACCAACCATTACACCTTGATGGCGAGGACGGCCGACAATCGATGGGAATACAGCTCGAGGAGCATCATCGCCGGCAAAACCAGCTTTGCACATACCAGATCCATTATCAACAACTAAAGCAGCAACGTCGTCATCCATGATAGCAAATTTCGAAAGCGAAGGGTAGGAAACTTTAAGTACAGTTCAACAAAACGTCTTGCAAGCAGCACAGGTAGTAGCAAACTGCCTCTCGAAGAATTTGAAACCATGTAATTTATGATCATTGACGTCACGTCCGGTTTTCCTTTGCGTAAGCTTTCTGTTTTGTTGTCAGACTAGGAACGCAGAAAATTCGACGCATTTTGATTTTGCTTGTTCATTCGCATTTAGCTGCATTTTAAACAATACAAAATGCTAAATTATGCTTAAAATGCTTGTACTCTTTCATTCAATACCCAAATATTTGTTTTTTAAAGAAAGCCAAGGAAACAGTGGTGATATTTTGGTCATATTGCTGCATGGAACCTCCCAAAAAATCAATCTCCGACAAGGTTTCATCCTTATTAGGCAATTCCTGGGAAGACAAAATAAAATACTCAGACAGTGCAAAGTTACCATATATGGTAAAGAGATTGCTGATTGGTCAGCTCAAAACAACGTGTTCATCCGTGTGTTTTAATGGCGTTTTAATTTCCGTTGTCTGTTATTTCAAACATAATATTAGAATCCATGTAGCAGCATATTCCTATGAATTTATACTTATTGCATAGTAAAGAAATTTTCAGCATTGAATATTATATTAAATAGATTGTTGTAGTAATTTTAATGACTTTGTATAGAATACTTGGTATTTTTCCTTCGGTCAGATTAGGCGTCTCCTGAAATGCCTCACCAAGTATGTCAACATCGTCGAGAACGTAGAAAAGAATTAAAAGACAGGAATTAAACCAGCAATGATTGCTTACTAGATATCTTAGGAAGTCGCT